ACCGACGGGACCTTCATGGGGCCCTTCAGGGTCATTCCGCAGGCGGCTTTGGGCGCCCTTATCGAGAGCGGAACTACCGCGGCCCAGAGGATACCAACACCTTTTCCTCATCAGTTCCCTTGCCCACTCTGAAATAGGCGGATGCTGACTCAATTTTTTTACCCCTCTTCATTTCATCAATATTACGGGAGTCACAATATTAATGTTACGGGTTCATATCTTGCCCCTGCCGTACCCCAAATGCCTGACTCTCTACTGACGATCCCAATCACCCGTCGCCTCCTTACAGCCCTCCCCGAGAGCAGGAGGCGTCCAGAAAGAACCGAATTAAACCTCATTCTGGCCAAGACCTGAGCTAGAAGAACAGCCCTTCTACTAACCAGCCCTACCTCCTGCGCAGACCGCCTTGGACATCTCGCCAACACGGCGGGGCAGTTTTCCTCTCTCACCAGCTGCCTTTCAGATAGCGGTCCCCGCTGCCTCCTTCTCCCCTGGAGGTTCTCCCCTACGGTACCGCTCGGGCAGCGCCGCAGTGCGCGGAGGGGGAGTGCCACAGCCTGAGCCACCGAGTCACCTTCCTCCCCCAGGTGAATCACCAGCTGCACACCCCGGGGTTCCCGCCCCTCCTAGGGCAAACACGCAAACTAAACCCTGCCTCGGTTTCAGTTTTGGTTATTCCCGTTTGCCGTGCCGTGAGATCCTTTCTTTCTCCTGAAATAGCGCATCGTGGGGGGATAAAGGGGGAGTGCGATCCACCTCGACCCCACCCTCACACCCGGCCTGTGGGGGCAACTGTCGGGAGCGGTCTACCCTCCCGTCTAACAAGCTTTGTGAGAGGGCCGGATCCAGTGTGGGAAGGAACGGTAACTGTGCTGCGCCACGTGGGCGCGTCCTATGGCGCTCTAGTGTTTTGTTGCCCTTTTCCTTAGAACCAGCGTGGGACACGGTCCTTAGGGAGGAAAGTGACTGCGCGCCTGAGCAGCGGCGGCACGCCAGTAAACCCACAAAGACTGACGCGCGGCGGAGCCCACGCCAGCTCTGCCGCCCGCCCCGCAAACGTCTCGCAGCGCCGGGGCGGGCCCTGGAGTGGCAGGCCGCGCACGCGCCGTGTGGGGGATTCCGGAAGCGAAACCCAGAAACGAGATGGAGAAGTACGAGCGGATCCGAGTGGTGGGGAGAGGTGCCTTCGGGTGAGCTAGGACTCGGGGCTAGGAAAGTGCTGGGGACAGGGAAAATGAGCCTCAACTCTGCCCGACACCCTGCCCCGGCTGGCCCCGCCCTAGGCGTCAGCGCTACTCTGGACGGCCCGCCCTAGCTTCGGTCCCAGCGGGGAGACTCCGCCTCTCAAAAGGCCACGCCCCCGGCGAGCCTCCGTGCGCCCGCGGGGCTGTTGGATGCCTCTCTTGTTCTTTTCGTAGGTACTGCGCGCCTGGTCCTAACCGAACAGGCGTGGTCTTTTCCCTCTTGGAGCTTACAGACTATGGGAAAATTAGACAGTAAACAAGACATTGTTAAGACAGTTAAGAAGTTACTGGGCCGGGCGCGGTGGCTCATGCCTGTAATCCTAGCACTCTGGCAGGCCGAGGCGGGCGGATCGCTCAAAGTCAGGAGTTCGAAACCAGCCTGAGCAAGAGTGAGAACCACCCCCCCCCCCCGTCTCTACTAAGAAGAGAAAGAAATTAATTGGCCAACTAATAGATATATACAAAATTAGCTGGGCATGGTGGCGCATGCCTGTAGTCCCAGCTACTAGGGAGGCTGAGGCAGCAGGATTGCTTGAGCCCAGGAGTTTGAGGTTGCTGCTGTGAGCTAGGCTGACGCCACAGCACTCACTCTAGCCTGGGCAACAAAGCGAGACTCTGTCACAGAAAAAATAAATAAATAAAAAGAAGTTATTAACAGGCTGCGAGAAAAGTGTACACCACCAGGGAGAATTCTGAGAGATGAGATTTGATCAAGCCAAGACTCCAGGAATGAGCACCAGTAGTCTGCAGGTGAAGGAAGAGCTTTGCAGGCAGAGGAAATTGCACAGGTGACGTTTCTCACGTGGGAAAAGCAGAGTATTCAAGGAACTGAGAAAAACACTAGTGTAGTTGGAATGTAGTGGGCAAAGTAAAAAATGGTATAAATGTGACTCACGTAGGGCGGGAACCAGTTTATGGGTTTGTAAACTGAGGTAAAAGGGTTGAATTCATTTGCCATGTAAGGGGAAGACTTTTTTTTTGAGAAAAAAATCTTGCTCTGTTGCCCAGGCTAGAGTGCTGTGGCATCAGCCTAGCTCACAGTAACCTCAAACTCCTGGGCTCAAGCGGCCCTCCTGCCTCAGCCTCCCAAGCAGCTGGGACTACAGACACGTGCGACCAAGCCCAACTAATTTTTCTATTTTTAGTAGAGATGAGTCTCACTCTTGCTCAGGCTGGTCTCAAACTCCTGACCTCAAGCAATCCTTCCACTTCGGCCTCCCAGAGTGCTAGGATTACAGGTGGGAGTCACTGTGCCTGGCCAAGAGGAAGAATTTTAAAGCAGAGAATAGGTCTGATATGATTTTGGGGGAAGGGGGTTGGGTTTTTTGGATTTTTTTTTTTTTTCCTGAGACAAGAGTCTCACTTTGGCTAGACACGGTGGCTCATGCCTGTAATCCTAGCACTCTGGGAGGCCGAGGCGGGAGGATCCCTCAAGATCAGGAGATCGAAACCAGCCTGAGCAAGAGCGAGACCCCGTCTCTACTAAAAATAGAAAGAAATCAATTGGCCAACTAAAAATATAGAAAAAATTAGCCGGGCATGGTGGCGCATGCCTGTAGTCCCAGCTACTTGGGAGGCTGAGGCAGAAGGATAGCTTGAGCCCAAGAGTTTGAGGTTACTGTGAGCTAGACTGACGTCATGGCAATCTAGCCCCTGTGACAGAGTGAGACTCTGTCTCAAAAAAAAAAAGTCTCACTTTGTTGCCCTGGGTAGAGTGTAGTGGTGTCATGTCATCATGGCTCACTGCAACCTCAAA